GAATAGATTGTTATTTTATGACGCAAACTTATAAAAAAAATCTGATGTGGTCAGCACATAACCGACCGCAATGTGTATTGTCTAGTTAAGTGAAAGTGTTACAGAATATTATAAAAATGTCTGTTAAATACTTCTTTCCAATTTTTAGGACATTAGTAAGCTTATAGTTAGCATACCTAGAAAAATGTAAATTTGGCTCTTAGTAGAGTTTCGCTTTGTGCTACCCGAATTCCCTGAAATGCTCGCCAGTTAGTTTCGGTAACAACCAGAACTCAAATATCAAATTTCAAGAAACTCTACAATTCGTTCCGTAGATATGGTGAAAAATGTAGAATCGGCCCGCAGATCAGTTTTCGAGCCCTGATCTTTCCAAAAAATTTACATGTTCATTGTTTTAATACAAGCAATTCAAATATTAAATTTCAATGAAATCGGTTGATTATTTCTCTTTATATACACAAAAGTGTATGTTTGGCTCGTAGTAAACGTCTAGTTGCCGATGCCTGATCTTTCCAAAAAATTTACATGTTCATTGTTTTAATACGAGGAACTCAAATATTAAATTTCAATGAAATCAGTTGATTATTTCTCTTTATATACACAAAAATATATATTTGGCCCGTAGTAAACGCCCAGTTGCTGATGCCTGATTTCTTCCAAAAGTTAGGAATTTTTGCGTATGATCGAGCAAAGCTTATATATGAAATTTCAAGTAAATCGGTTGAATACTTTCTTCAAAATGGTGAAAAATGTAAAATCGGCCCGCAAATCAGTTTTCGAGCCCTGATCTTTCCAAAAAATTTATATGTTCATAGTTTTCATACGAGGAATTTATGTATTAAATTTCAATGAAATCGGTTGATTATTTCTCTTTATATACACAAAAATGTATATTTGGCCCGTAGTAAACGTCCAGTTGCTGACGCCTGATTTCTTCCAAAAGTTAGGAGGTTTCATCGCCGATAGAGCAAAACTTATATATGAAATTTCAAGTAAATCGGTTGAATATGTTCTTCAATATGCTCAAAAATGTAAAACAGGCCCGCTAGAAAGTGCAGTTCCCGAGGGCTGATATATACCAAAAGTTGATCGATCCGTGCCATGGTGGAAATAAGCTTACATATAAAATTTCATCAAAATCGGTTCAGCCGAACTTGAGATACACGCGTGCACACACAGACCGACAGACGGACAGACCGACAGACCGACAGACCGACAGACCGACAGACCGACAGACCGACAGGTTGCTAAAAATAGTTTATTTACACTTCCCTACTATGGAGAAGCACGTTCCCACCGAAAACTCGATATGCAAAATTTGTTGCCATCACATAACCTACCTATTGTTTACACAATACGGTCGGTAATAATGTAAATAGTTTTTCATTTTTAATTTATTAAATTGCTTTAACCCTTAAGCACCTGGTGTCTTATTTTTGATATACCTGAAAAAAAGTATGAAAAATATTTTGTTTATTAAAAAATATGACTTATCCAAATCTGTCACAATAGTATATTAAGCTCGAACATTTCACTAAACCGAATACATTTACTAAGATATTTGAATTTCGAATGTCTTCTCAAAAATGTATAACATTTTAAGATATTTTCAAATTTACTTTAGATTACATACATATATTGTTGTCACAACCACTTAGTAACATGAGCCAGTTAAACTCCACACTCCTGAATTTTGATTCTTCTTCCAGATCTTCGTAGAAGAATTCTTTAAGAGCCTTCTCTCCTCTCTCCCAATTTCTAAGTCATATTACCTACACAAGGGCTTTTATCCGCCTTATTATATGCTATTTAAGCTTTTGTCGTGCCTCTTTTGTCGCTTCGTTTCAAAACAGTTTTATAATTGCTTCCCAAACTCCGCTAAAATTTTACGTGTATCCCTATTTTTCAAGAGCCCCATATAGTTTTACTTATAAATAGCGACGTAAATTAAATATTATAGTTGACCAATATAAAGACTTACCGTTACAGTATAATGGAGCCTATACTCATTTATATTACGAAAATTTTTAGGGTTTTGGCCGGTTCGGTTCGGTTATACTGTTTTAGCCTGCATAATATAATTTGCAATTGAAAAGTGTGCACTAACTCGGGTTAAAAAAAAATGTCACTTTTATCAAAATCCTTACACTATATGGTATTAATATTTCCCCTTTTTCATTAATGAATTAATACTTTTCTTTAGTTTATTCTTTTATGCAGTGGTTTGCACGCATAAAATACGAGTAATTATCATGATTATGTGGTACAATACCATCTATAATGATATTTTTTCTTCAATACCTGATTTATACTTGAATAGAAAGTATATAAAACATTTACTTGCATTTAATTCAAAAACTTTTCTTTTTCAATTCAAATGAAAAAAAATGAAAATCTCTTATCATAATTGCATCCATTGTTCAAATCAAATTGATATTTTTTTAAACAAATAAAAAAAAAATGTTTTTAAAACAATAGATTTTTTATAACTATAAGTAAAAGTAGAATGCAAATTGTTCGTGTACATTAAACAACTTTCATTAACATTATCATATTACTATTATTATAGAAAAATCATAAAATTTCACCAGGTGAACCTTAGATGGACAAAAAAAAACTTCTTATCCGGTGTATAACAAAATTGAAGCATCGTAAGGCAGGCATAACAAATATCCTTAATGGATTTTTTTTAAAGAGAGTTGGATCACAAAATCTACGACTAGCTGATGATGTCAAATTCTTATTAATTTTTAATTTAATAAAACAAAATCAATGAACAATCCGAACTAATTCGTATTAAAAATCTAACTAAAATATTGCATATAGCAAAGAATTTTTTGCATTTTAAAGTGTTACCGAAATAATTTATTTCTTAAGACCAAAAATCCCTCAAAACTGTGAAAGTGAAAGCAATTTTAATTTGTACAAGGAATCAGCATTACTCGGGTTTTGCCGCAAAATCATGTAAATTTTCTCAAAAACGCTATGCACTAACGAGCTTAATTAATTATCCTTAATTTAAATTTTATGGGATGCTGCTACATTTATATGTCTGATTAGCTTGAAAATTATCAACTAGCTTGAAAAATATCCCAGAAAACCATATGAAAAATTAGAAGGAATCCATTATGGGTTTGTTGGGATTTAATCTTCCTATTGATATTCTTCACTCTTTTTGTTTTTTATTGTTTAATATTTTCTTGAATAAATACACTTCTTTTGAATTTAAATTCAAGGAAAATAATAATATTGTGTATTTTTTTGAGATTAAAACATCTTGAAAAAATTATTAATAATTTTTAATGTGAACATAAACAATAGAATCCTTTTTTTTTTTGTTACTTAACATATTTCATATTTTTAAAATAATTGAAATTCTTTTACGTAAGCGGGAAACGATAATTTAAATTCTTTTATTGATCTCTGCTTTAATTTGTTTAATTATTAATAACTTTGATGTAATGACTTTAATAAGAAATCACGTAAAAAACCCGAATTCACTATGTCAAATATATTAATATATTTGAAGCATAGAGGCGCCGGCAAAAATTTAACTACTTCAATTTTGTTAAACATACTCTTAAGAACTGATAGTTGTTCACAAAAATTTAATATGAATATTTTCCAGCACAATTTTTTTTAATTTTAGGAATAATTTCAGAAGGAAAAGGCGGACGGTTGACCTGATATTAATTAAGTTGTTATTAAGATGACTAAAGAAACTGGAATGTGGATGAGTTGCGAAGTATTAGAAATATTTCGAAATGCTACCTGTTATGGCCTATGTGCCCAGAGCAATTCTAAGCCAAACAAACTGCTGTTTGGTAAACGGAATGACGAGTAACACGACCAAAAAACTGTAACTGGCAAGGCACTGGTAACAACTAAAATTCAAAAAAATTGTGTCAAATTTCTTTTGAGAGCGACTGTATTCAATCAAGACTATTATTAGCTTTAACAGTTATTTACACTTAATAACAAATATGAAAAACTAAACAAGAACATGGTGGTATGCAATTTTGTAGAGAATAGAAGAGGTTTTAGAAAGTTCATATATCTGAAATCAATTGCAATCAAACAAAAAATTTTAATATTTAAATATAAATTAATAAATTTTAAAATTATGACACTGATTGCAAATTTTTTAAATTTTTCTTTTTGTATAATTTTACAACCATCCTACATTTCTCTCATACATACTAGCAAAACAATACTATATTTGTATAATATTCAAAAACTATTTATTAAATTATAATTTATTTTTTTGACCTCTTTATTATTATTATAACAAATTTTGTAACCATATATTATACACAAAAATTATGTAAAAAGAGAAAAAGTTTGAAAAAAAAAAATTTAATGTTATCTGTATAAAGTTTGCTGACCACCCACAAATGTGTAAATTTTATTTAAGGACAGTTAGTAGGACAAACTGATAAAAACAAAAACTAAAAATTTTTTTCATATAATATGTTATATAGTATATAATCCTCATATAAGCATCCCAGAGAACCGATGACACCCATAAAACGCCTGCCTGTAACGCCCATATAAAATTATAATAAAATAAAAAATAATTATTTTTGTCTCAGTTTATTGTTGAATAAAACCATAAAAAAAAATTTATACATGTACACATTATATCCTATGTATATTGTGTGTACACATATACACGATATCCTTTCGAAAAATTGAAACAAAATTTTGTCAGAATTATTATAATCTATATTATAGAGCAGGAATAAAAGTTTTCTCTTAGACTTTTCCTTCTTCTTTTTTAAAAGCATGGAAAGATAAAAAGAAATTGGTATATTATAAGAAATGATTCATTACCAACTATTCTCCATAATTTCGGAAAAAATAAAAGTAGTTATAGTGATATTTTTTTCTTCTTGTGTACACACAAAGTAATAACATTTATACAAAATATAGTAAATAAGAATCTCTATATATAAACGTACATAATATTATATTTTCAAAAATAATCTAAATTTACTTACATAGTTCTGAGCAAGGTCAGGATGATTTGTTTGGATGCCATCATCAAGTATTGAAACAACAACTCCTTTTCCAGTATAGCCTTTTTGCCAAGCTGGTTCAACATTCATATCTAGACCATCTTTGGCGCCACCATTCTGCAAAAATTATACGAATAATAATAATAAAAAAAACGGATAAGAAATTTTCCATACATGAACAAAAATATACACAAACACATATACAAATATTGCATAGATTTAAGATGGTATTTTAATCAACGCTATAGATATTATGCGAGATTTGGAGGAAAATGAAAAAAAAAGTAAAAAGAAAATAGAGAAAAAAAAGAAAAATAATGAATGTTAAAATAATTTGTAAGAAAATGAATATTTTGTATTAATATTATGTATGTATGTATGTATAAAATATAAATTTATTATGATTGTTTGATGAATGCCAGGCACTATAAAATTATACGAAAATAAAAAAAAAATTTAAGTAAAACTTTTATATTATACGATTGTAGTTCATATATAGTTTCTATATAGGTAAAATTTATGTGTGTTTTATATTTAGGTATATGTGTGGTTACAAGCAAAAAACCTCAAAATCAGAAATGTTCGAATACTAACCTAAGTTCAAAGATGTTTGCGAAAATAGCCTATTATACCTAATAAATTAACTATAAAATTATTGCGAAAATTAAGTATGAAACTCAAAAATAAATTTTAATATATAAACATATGACAGCGTACTGCTAGTGAAAAATCAACCCCTAGAATTCAAGCGAATTATTGACAACTTGCGAATTCAGAAATTGAAACTAATATTTTAGCTATGGAAGAAGAAGTTATTTGCCGAATATTCAGATTTTTTTTTTAATACAGGTGTTTGAAATCATCGAAAGACAAAGGCGGACCCAAACTTTCATCACGCCTATCAATAGTGGGAGAATTTAACCCAACCTAAAACGCACCTGATAGTCAAATTGACTAACTATTAGTTTTGCTCTATCGTGTTTTTGTGTCTACATTCTGTGAAAGAAGGCGCTGAGTTCTCGTTCAGTCTTTTTTACCAAATCCTCTGCCCCATAATTCAGATGATTATATATTTATAACAGTGTAACTAACTCTGATTCAATTGGGAATTAAATACTCTCAGTTTAGTTGAATAAAAATCTTTAATAAAATAAAATTTTTCTTAAAAGTTCTACAATATTTTACCAATAACAAACCTTGATTATTTCTATCACTAAAAGCTTGATTAATTAATATAACACTTTGCAAGTTAGTAAGTTATCTCTTTATGCCACAGAAATACATGTAATAATATGTATACAAATATAATTAAAAAGAAGACCGAAAAAAAGGCCAACATAAGGCATAAGTTAAAAATTTCATTTTTCGAATTAAATAATTTCCTTTTCATGGAATTCTTTCGAAATGATAAGGTCCTATTTATTCGTTCTTACTTTAACTAAGTTGTATTTTTTTTTTATTATTTATAAACTAGTTACACATAATAATATATAAATTGTGGTAGTTCAGTTAATTACCTAAGTAATTTATTTAATTTTCAAAAGAAATCTTTTAATTTATTTTATTAGAATTAATTTATGATTATAAACAGATTACCAAATCATATTAGTATTAAATAAGATTCTATTCTAAGCTAAAATATCTTAGAAATAGACAAGGCTTTTGCAGAAATTGGAAGGTTTTTAAATAAGCATTTTTCATATTAATTTTCAGATGAAGATTGAAAAAATTTCATAAAATTTGCGGATTTAATGTTTCACTAATATTATTCCAATTTTTATAGTATATCTTTTCGAGTTTCAGCATTGTACCCTCAAAATTTGCATTACAGATAAATACTTCGAATTCGAATTCGAAGCATTTATCTGTTATGCTGAAGAAACTATATAAAATGAGGTTTTATTAGGCAATTCAAAGTAATCTTAGCACAGTTCAAAATCAAAATCCCAGCAACATACCATTTCATGATCTAATTTATGACAAAATCTATTCTGTGACTTAATTATTTACTAAGAATGAGTACACTAAAGTGATAGGAATGATTAAAAACTTGCATTTACCTTAAGTCTTTTGAAACTCTCCAATTATACCAGCTAATGAAAAAGAAATTACGATTCCACATATGAGATTAAAGAATAATTGTTTTGTCAGCATTTAGCTGCTACAATGTGTTATTCAACCCCAGTTTATAAACAATTTGGTTTATGCTCATTCGGCAGAATTTTAATGAATTCGACCAACGTATCCCCGCTTAATGTAAAATGAAATTATTAATATGTAATTTATGTGACTCTATACAATTTAGAAAAAATATTTTATTCTGTACTCGATATATAACAATATTAAAAACTGTATGAACAGTAAATCTTCCATGAGACAAATTGCATTTCTTAAAGCTTCAATAAAAATTCAAATATGTTCAAATAAAAATAGTTACAACTTATTTAACTTGAAGTATCTTGATATTATTTATCCGCCGGAATAAAAAAACACATATTATATAGCACATATATCATATAAGTATTATTTATATGGAATATTAAATAGAATTTTAACTGAAAAATTTTAGATCATAAATAATAATCTTTTTTCGATTCCCATTCAATAAAGGTACCTTCCTAATTCCTATACCTTATCCCCCATAAAAATCTCTTCTTCAGTTTATATTATTCCATACAATTTATACATGCATATTAGATTTTCAGGTATTTGAATTTCCTTTCATAAACAAAAAAAAAATCGGAAAAAAATCGAAATTTTATTGATTCAACTTTGAATTTATTCAAGCATTAAACAACAGCTCGTAAATTGAAAGATCTTAACAAAAATCTCTTTAAGTTTAAATGTTGTAATGAAAAATTGTCTGTTTTTTTTTTTTTTGCGAGATTTTTTATATTTTTCCAAACAATTTCCTATCGAAAAGAAAATATCTTTTCATACAATAATTTTACCCTCATTGTAAAACTCTACATATGTTTATATCTAATTTTTATAGCATATTTAGAAGTGGGGAAAATAATGTTCTTCTTAGTTTGACTTTGTGTGTTTGTCCACCCATTCTGGTTTTAAAAACTTCTACAACCTTTATAATAGAGAGCAGATATTTTACATATCGTCGGTATTATGGAAGAGTCATGAAATTGCATTTTTTATGTTTCGAGAAAAATGTGTTGAAAATATACACAATAATGCCAATTTGCAGAGACTTGTGAGATTTACAACGTTATTTTTCCGAAAATTCTAACGTTGGAGTTACGTGGCTTTTTTATAAAGATATCTTCTACAATGTCGGCAATATATACAACAGAAAGCTTGCAAAAAATCCATTATACCAGAAAAACATAGCCTTCTCTTTTATTTTCACTTGTACCTCCCCTCCACACCATCATTTTGCAATATATTGTGCCGAAACGAACAGATACTTTTTTGTAATCGTAAACTCAGGGAAGTATAGGTTGGTTTCTTCAACATCATAAAGGTTTAGGCAAACATTACAATTTGCAAATGACCGTTGATATTGACTGCTATCTCAAACCTGTTTTGCTTTTTGTCAAATTTTTGATAACGATGTTAAAATGTCTGTAAGATAGAAAACTATGCAAGTTTTTAAATTTTATCAGTTTGTAAAAAATAACAAAAATAAGTCTCCGGGTTCTTTCGTAACTGGAAATTGTCCCCTGACTCATCCATATCCCTCACACTTTGAATATATCGCCGTTAAAATTAAAGTTTTAATATTTGGCTTTTATTTTTTTCGAAAATTCTAAGTTTTAACAATTTTTTTTAAAAGCAAAAACAATAACGGTAAAATTTAAGAAACCTGTTTTCGCTTATTAAATGGAAATGTGCTACTTTACAAACTCTGCTTTGATTCGATTTCATATATATAAATATATTTTTGAAATCAATTCATCTACTTTTCATCCCTTCCAAATAAATTCATTTCCTGATTTTGGTTTCGAAAAAGATAAAGATTTCGTTCAAAATAAATCGTCCATATTACAAAAATGAACAACAACATTGTACATAAAAATAAAAATATTGGAAAAATTCGAAGATTTTATTTGAATTTTCAATACTTTTACCGATATATGTAGGTATACTTATTCACGAAAATATAGATTGGTAGGTACTAAGTAATAAAATAATGATCAATTTTTATTTTACCTACATTTTTATGACACATGGGTAGGTATGGTATATAACTAGATATATATAATATATATTCATATATATAATAATATATATCCGTATATACCAAAATATATAAATGCAAACACATAAAAAACTAATACATTGTGTTGTTCTTAAAAATGAAAGAGAAAATTAAATTTTTTTCGTATGAGGCTCACCATAATTTCAGCCACGATTTCATTGTGAAACGCGATTAAATCTATTTATTACTCTACGGTTTTATTACTCTAGATTTTGCATTTGAAAAAGAAATTTCAGATTTTCAAACTTCTATCTATGATTTTGAAACTAATTGAGATCTGAAAACAAAATATTCAAATTTCAAAATTAAAAACCTATATTCGAACTCAAGTAGACATGCAATTTTTAATTTTGAAATTGTTTGTTTGCTTGTCATCTGTTTTACAATACAGATGACTGTATTCCACAGGTTTATACTCAAGCGAGCACGGATATATCTGCATAATTGCATGCAATTCAATCGATTGGAATTAAGGTATTTCGAATTGATTTAAGTTATCAGTCACTTGATTTGAATTGGCGTAATAGTTTTGTTGAATGTCTGTCTGAGCCCTTAGGCAATCCATTACATATATCAAATTTCAATTATATTTGGCATACAAATTAACTTTACAATTGTTACAAGTGCAGTCTAAAAACTTATTTTCAATTTAATTAATTCAGAACTAACTAATAATTGTTCCCTTAACTTGATCATTTTTTGTAAATCTATATTCTACTTGGAATAACATACTTCTTATAAATGTGCATGTATATATGTAGATGTAATAATATGATATAATATTAGAAGGATTCCAAATTTTTTTTTTTTTTTTGTAATATCAAATTAATTTTGACAATATTGCAATCAATATAAAAATTAATCCATTGAAAAACCATTAAGTTTATTATTAATGGTTAAT